GAACTCTTTAACCATCCTGCTAGAAATTTAACATGTCATCCAGTCTGGCACCCAGTTTTTAGCTTGGTCGCCTGCTTTATAACCAAAATTCATAGGTTTTGTGAGTTTTTTGGATGAGTAATGAAGGCTTAATTTCTGAGATTTATATAGTAACTAACTGTACATAACAGAAAGTATTACATGATTTACATCATATTTAACTTGACTACAGAAGACAAACATTTAAGTTGTTTCACTGAGCTCTGGCACCAGACTGATAAGAAACTGCTCTCTGCCTAGAGAGATTGGGCTCATGTGCCAGATGTGGCTCAAGCTGCACAATAGGCTGTTCTCCAAGTTGTCTGCCTTTACCTTGAGATTATTTATGCTAGAGTATAATAACTAGATGGTGTACAATGATTTGTATAAATATACAGTAGTTAACACTATAGTACCACAATGCCTCTAATTGGACAGAATAATGAAAATGGGGTCACAAGAAAACTAAACCTGATAGAAAAGAACTGATTTCTTTAAAATTCAGCTTGAAAAAATCAGTGTACGACACTCATTACAGTCCATGTAAAAAAACTGTTGACTACGTAAACAGTTTGTTGCTGATCTACGAACAATTTCAAAGTTCTCATAGATCTGAATTAGTAAATACATGATCTTGCAAACTGGATCAACATTGGTGATCCTAAAGCAGAGGAGGTCAAATTAACTATTGGTAGTTTCTCAACAATCTCTGGAGATTTCAATACTGAATTAGTTTTTAAAGTTTGGTTGATGCTTAGTACAAATAATCCTCAACTTACAACCACAATTGAACCCAAATTTTATATTGCTAACACATTAAGTGATTTTGCCCATTTTACAACCTTTCTTGCCACAGTTGTTAAGTGAATCATTGCAGTTGTTAAGTTAGTAACATGGATGTTATGTAAATCTGGCCTACCCATTGACTTGGCTTTCAGAAGTTCGCAAAAGCTGATCACGTAACCCCAGGACACTACAACCATCATAAATATGAACCAGGGGATACTGCAACAGTCATAAGCATGAAAAATCATCTTTACAAAACATCTTCATAAGTCATAGTTACCTTTTCAATGCTACTGTAACTTCAACAGTCACTAAACAAACTGCTATAAGTCAAGGACTACCTGTAATTAATTTGGAAGGTGAACTATGGAGGTGATTAACTGTTAACAGAAGTCTAGACTATACGGAGACTACAGAAACAATGGCTTCAGAACCATCCAAAGTGCTAACAGCAGTACCTTTTCCTGCAAAAATGCTAAGTCTCTATCTTACATCCCTTGCTCAATAAAAAATGCGGAATATGAGAAAGCGGATTGGTTTACTTTCACTCTGTATACATATACAAAATGGTGTTTTGAAAGCCAATGATCTTACAGAGAACAGCTACGTTGAAAGGCAAGTCCTTTGAATTTTCATTCTCAGAAACACAATGACAAAAATATTTTAAGTAGCACAAGTTGTTCTCAGAAAAAAAAAACATCAAATGCTCCAATCATGTGGCTGAAAAGAGGAGAGTAATACTATTTAGGAAATAAACAGTGAAGTTTTACTTCCCACTGAATATCTCCACTGTGCCTTTTCAGCACAGATACAGAACTTGGTAAAATAAAGAAGTTACAATGAAGACTAAATACCAAGATTTTGCTGTTCAGCTATTTCAACCCTGTGGTGACTAAATTCTATCATTCTTACATCATCCACGTTTGCAAATAGGGTTTTCCATTTTGCTTTGCAGATCCTAAGATATAAATTTTTACTCTTGTATCACAGAGATAGAAAAGACTGATTCAAAAGCACTTTGAAAAAACAACCCTTCGTTCCTTGGCTGTATTCTCATAACATGCAAGCCAATCTTTCCCAATCTGTTTCACCCTAGATGTTTTGAAGTACATCCCCAGCCAGTATGAATCAATACTTACACAAAATTGAGGAAGGCTATGCCAAGTTATATTCTGCTTTGTCAATTAAACTATACAGTCAGTTGGGTTTATACAGCATGAAAGACCACAGACAAGTTAATCTTTTTATATTTGATATATACCTGTCCTTCCCCCCTCAAAAAAGTTTCCCAATGTATTGATAGGTTGAATTGCATTACACAGTGAATGCAGAAATTTCAACCATACAAAAAGATCCGAAGAATATCTGGAAATACAGGTTTATCAGTTTTTAATTCATAAAATACTATTCCTTACCTAGGTTTTACTTTGCTAAAAATCGTTAGACCTCTTTTAAGGCACTCTTTGTAAATCAATCTGTTTTGGTATATCATCTGCCAATGAAGGCTTTTATTAGACTGTCACAGGCATGCAGTTACATTATAGATACCCTTAGCTAAATTTTTTATTAACCAAAAACCATGCTCAGAAAACAAGCTAATCTTAAAGCAAAATGAATTGATGTTTATAAACAGATTAAATAGAGTCTTGGAAACTTGAAGTCATAGAACAGACAGTGTAATAGTGTTTAAAGAAGAATAAAGCAATGCAAGCTCTGGCCTTTCCATAATGTATTTTCTTAATTAGATTCCTGTTAATCAACTCTACCTTTTATTCAGAAGCTTGAGATAGTATACCCACCTATTTCTCCTCACAATAATAATCTTGAAAGGTAAGTTGGGTTGAACCTAAATGGCTGGCCAAAGACACTCAGAGCTTTGATGCTGAGAATGGACCTAGATCTCCCCATTCATAGGCCAACAGTTTAACCATTATCTTACATTGACTATTGAGGGAATTGTTTCCTGTTATTGCTCTGAAACCTCATTTTGTCTGTTATCTATATCGAAGTTTTCAGACATATTCTTAAACACCCTTTCCAAATAACCCTATAGTTATAGTTCCACTTAATAGAATTCATTTCTTTTGTGTGCTATATAAGCAATGTAATGTCCGATAGTCCTAATATTGGAATGTATTTTTAGTATGTCAATATTGGGGATTTTTCTTTAAAACTACTTTCTCCTGTATAGTACCTCCCAATCAGCTGAGATTGATAGAAGTATAATTTAATATACCTGAAGGGAACATAACAGGGAAGTCATCTTCAAGATTCTTAATAATGTGATTTTTTTATTATGATTTGATCATTTTAATTATGGAAGTAATCTTAAAACAGCAGGAATTTTAATATCCAGTGCCTACCTTTTCCACCTTCTTGGTGTAACATTGCTGATTCCAGCTGAAACAAATCCTATGAATCTCTGTATGCAAGTTTGTGTTTGTTTGCGGGCATGCATATATACCATACATATGTCCCTTATGCAGGTTAGGATAAAAAAAGTAATTTTATATTGATGTAATTAATTACTACCCATTAAAGTGAACTGCATATAAAATGTGTCCAAATTTTAAAATTAATTAATTGATTCCATGTGCATATGGCTATCAATTTCTTTTGTATTTAAAGAGAGTCACTGCTCTCTGCATACTTTACATGTAAACATTTCTTGCTTTTGTTCAAGGAAAAATAGCAAAAAGGAAAATATAATGGGAGGTAAAGAGGTGGAGAAAGTCAACTAAGTTAAATTCATCAAACATTCAGCACTTCACAAGTAACTGCTTATCTTCAAGCAGAATCTGTACTTCAAAAGCATCCGCACCTTGAAGCAACTCCATCTGCACTGCAGCCATCTGTATTTCCCTGCATGTATTTGTTTTCAAGCAGCATAAAGAACTCCCCAACCCCTCCATTCACATTCATAAATATTTTAGAGGGAGGGGAACTTACTTACCCTTCTAATCAAGTAACTTTAATATTATCCAACCATCTTTTTTTCTGAGTGGTTTTTGTTTCTTCATGAAGTTGTTTAAGCAGCATCCAGAGCTCTTTGTCAAGATGCTTAGTGGTTTTTGCTGAGCAATATTGAATAAACTGAAATAATAGACTTAGTGATATATTCTTCAAGTAACAAAGCTGATGCTGAAAGGAGTTACCATTTGGTTGCAACCATAACTGATTTTGGAGTTTCTCTAGCTGAGAAAAACAAATCTGGGTGTCTTCTTTCTTTGAGGTAAGAAAATGAGCACTCAGAATATTCAGAGTTAAATTTCTAGATACTATTAAAAGTCAGTTTCAAAATGATATTAAACAAGTTAAATTTCATGCTTTCAAATATAACTTGGACTTTATGGCTGTCATACTTCATTATTATTATTTTCACATATTAGAATGCTTCCGCTCTCCTTTTCCCAACATCAAAACAGATAGTTCTTTTCAAGGCTGCCCACTGCATCCTATTATTAAGAACTCATTTATAGAGTAGTTCACAGTCGGGGGATACCAAAATATCCATACGACAGTGGCATTCAACATTTTTTACTACCGGTTCTGTGAGTGTGGTTTGGTGGGTGTGGTGTGGCTTGATGAGCGTAACTTGGTGGGCGTGGCAGGGGAAGTATACTGTAAAATCTTCATTCCTACCCCACTCCTGGGGAAGGTTACTGCAAAATCCCATTCCCTCCCCATCCCACTAACCTATTTTCCAGCTCCGTTGTCCTGTGCAGGGCAACAAAAGAAGAACCAGCCGATCAGCTGGGACTCGGGAGGCAGAGAATAGATGTGGGTGGGACTTGAGGTTATATTTGCTGATTTTCCAAACTACTCAAAATTTCTGCTACCGGTTCTCCAGAACTGATCAGAACCTGCTGAATACCACCTCTGCCATACAAACTTAAGTATCTTAAATTTAAACCTACAGTAGCTGTGCATATGTGTCAATATGTTTAGTCACATCGTGCTTGGGCATTGAGGTGCAGCAGGCCTGGATGTGAGTGTGATGTGCTCCCCACCCCTTGTATGTTTCAATTTTATTACGTGTGTATGAATAACACTCCGATGTATGTTGATAGAAAGTTTAGCAAATAAGTGGCATTGGGAAACAATACATACATTCCTGCATGCTTGTTGAATGAGATTAAATCAGTTATAATTAATATAATTATTGCTTTTGTTTTGTTTTTTTATTTGCTTTTTAGAAATATGGCAAATTAACCGCTTGTACTGGTTGCACAACTCAGTGCAAGTTTTTTGACATGACACAGTGCATAGGAACTAATGGACATATGGAGCCATACTGCTCAACCACATGCATGAACACACACAAATCAAAATATGCAAAACCACAAAGTAAGTGAAAGGGGTGGTGTGTCTTTCTCAACAGATAAAATACCTTTCCAAAATAGAGAAATTCTGTTTCACTTGTTGCTTCTATCTGGTTTTCTTCTTGACAGGATATTTGATGTCCACATTATATTGAGATTATTAGAATATGACTCATATCAGTTAAATAAAAAAGTTAATATAATTAAAACATGAAGTTTTAAATTTGAGCTCATGTTTTTCAGCCAGCTATAGATTTTTCAGACTGTTAATGGTGACTCCACTCTTGGATTGAATGTATTTTAGCATTCTGATATTTAATGTTACTGTGCATTGGCCAGAAATATCGGTAGTACAATATTTAAGGGTGTGTTTTGCTAAGAATAATACAGTTGCATCATTTATGTAATTTGTACTTTTTAATAGAGAGTTAATTTGTACATTAAAATCATACAGTGTTTAACTAGATAGTCTGGTAGGTAGGTATGTAGATTAGGTAACCATAAATAGTGTGAATTTATAGAAAAACTCTTAAACTCTACAAAGTCAAGTGAAACAAAGTGTGTGTGTGTGTGTGTGTGTGTGTGTGTTGTATTTAAAATTAATAAAATGTAACATACTGAAAAATTTTGTACAACATTTATTGGAAAGTCTAGGCGACACCATTCCCACCGATTTTGGTCATCAAAAACTTGTTCATTAATTATAGGTTTTTTATTGCCCTATCTAGGAAAGTGTGCATAACTAGAAGTTGTTTTACTCCTAAAAAGGCTACTTGTGTAGGAATAAATGATTGTTCATGCTTCAGCCATTGCTGAACTTTTAATAAATGCTAGCTTGTCATTTATAACCTGGAAATTTGCATTTATTTTTTGTATACTACATTTTTCTTTTAGGTTTGGAAATTGTTTGCCAATTTTGTAAACGAAACTCTTTACCTCAGTATCAAGCCACAATGCCTGATGGAATACTGTACAACTTTTGCAGTTCCAGTTGTGTAGCTAAATTTCAGGTTAGCTGTTGTGTTCAATCTCTTCTTCCCTGGATATGTATTTCTGTGCATATATCCTATTAGGTATTCTTAGTAGGCTAATATTACTTTGAAACCACAAATAAAATTCTTTGTGTTTATGACTTACCAATAAAGACCTTGTTAACGCTTGGCTATTATTGGCATAGTGTATATATAAGAAAGTGATTTCCAAAATTCATGGACTATTGTTAGTGCTTTCTTCTTCAAGTTGTTTGAATCAAGTTGGCTGATATTTGACATTTTCATTTGCTTCCTTTTTTTAAAAAGATAATTTAGCACATGGGTAAATGAGTACTTGAATACTGTATATCCAGCTATTTTATAATTACTACAGGATTTTTTGGTTTGGGCAAGAAGTAAAAAATTAATTCATTCCTTAAGCCAGTGAAAAAGAAACTTTGATTTTTGAGTTCCTTCTACTGCTAAAATAACTAGCTTACTGACAAATCCTATTCCTTTCAGGGATTACATTGTACTAAACAGAAAACTTAAATGGTTTTAAGTACATTGATTGTCAAATAGCTAATATTTTAAGATGATCAGATGCAAATATACAATAAGATTGTCATGCATTTATACTGCATTTGTGTTAGAGTTCTGAAGGCAGATTTATACTACACCTTTTATTCAGCAGCTCAAAGCAATATCTATAGTGTTCTCTCCTATTTTTTTCTACATAGTGAACAAGGTAGATAGGTTGCCTGTAGTCAGCCTGTGATCTTCCATGACTGGTGGTAGTTTAGAATTTGTCTCTCCCTGCCTCTAATTCAACACTTTAACCACTCTGCCGTGCTGCATTTACTCCTAGCATTATACATTACTTCAGTTGTAAAATAAAGTCTGGGAAAGAACAAAAAAAAAATGGGGAAGGGGAAAAAAGGCAGAATATTAATTCAATAATAGATAAAAATGAATGTGTTTTGAGGATAGATAAAACTGCAGCTTCTTAAAAGTTTGCACCAACTTCCTGGAGCATAAATTAAAGGTGTTTTTTTTATTTGAACATATAAATCATGATAGTTTTGTCTAGATCTGATATAAGCAAATTTAATTTTGATGTATTTTTGTCAACTTAGCTTTGTATAAATAAAATGGAAATATAATAGATATATAGAAAACAGAATAGAAATATTCCATTGTGGGCTAACATTTTAATTGGTGATAGGTGCATGCTAGTAAAAATTAATTTCTGTTAAGCATTAGAAAGATTCGGGCATCTTTTGTAGAAGAACCAGCAGATCTTAAAACTTTTTAGCTATGGCTGATTTTATTGGAAGCTTTAACAATTAAGTATGAAAGTGATTCTTGATTTCATTTCCACATTTGATTTAGATTTATTGCAACCAGTTTTTACCTGAACATATATTCATAGATCACCCTCACACTATTTAAGATGAAAGTTTCATTAAGTGAAATTTTAGATCCACTACATTTTTGCTCTTTGGTGCTTTTTTGGGGGGGGGGATTAAATTATATTGGCAGACCTGTATCTTGAAATAGTTAGAATAATTTAACCTGCAATTCCCTTATACCTGTACTTTATAATTCCTTTTCAACTAATGCTGTTTTATCTCAATCATAAGTACCTTCTTTGGACAAACTGAAGAAAATAAGGCATAAAGCAGTTGTGCTCTCAATTTTTAATCTTTTGTCAGGATAAGTGTCATTTTGGGCTATTTCTCACTTATTTTATGTGAATTTTTCTAGCCTAATTTTCACTCTATTTCTAGAGACCTATGGTAGATTAATTTCTTAAACTCCCAGTAGTATACTAGAATTGACATAATTCTAGCTTTTTTGTAGCAGCATTGTTGGCTATTTTGATTAACATAGAAACAAGATATTGTGGTTACAAGCTTGCATATTTGTATGTGATAATATTGTTTAAAATGCAAATATGGAGAAATACAAATAGACCTTGACTACAACCATGATGGTGAACCTATGGCATGCGTGGGAGTGCTGGAAACCAGAAGAGCAGCTCCCCAGCGTCCATGTGCACACCGGAACCTGAGCTTCCGGTTTCTAGTGTGCACATGTGCATCAGCCAGCTGGTCTTTGCACGCACATGCCGGGGAGTTTCCGGTTTCCAGTGCTCCCTCTTGCGCGCCAGTGAACTGCTCTTCCGGTTTAGGTGCTCCCCTGTGCGCCTGCACGCTCCCATTTCGGCACTTGGTGCCGAAAAGGTTCGCCAATACTGACCTACAACATAAGTGGAACCCACATTTTTGTTTTTAAGCAGTGTGGTCTTTCAGTAAAAGGTAAATGTTTACCTTTTCTAAAATCCATTTTTTTGCCACAATTAAGCAAATCTGGCCTCCCTCATTGACTTTGTCAGAAGCCCCCTGGGAATGTCACAAATAGTATTTATGTGACCATGTAACCATCGTAAATGCATACCAAGTGTCCAAATTTTAGCTCATGACCACAGGGACATTGCAATAGTCACAACTGCAAGGAGCTGTTGTAAGATACTTTTTCCAATTCATAACTTTGAACAGTTGTTAAACGGATGGTTATAAGTCAAGGACTACCTGTAGGTCTCATTGGATGCAAGTGGCCTGTAATAGTTTATTTTATAAGGTGGAAAGGCAAGCAATCTTTTCAGTAAAAGATTCTTGCTGATCACAAATTGAAAATGCGCAGATAAAGTAAGATGGATAAGCACAATATTTGTTATTATCAATATTATATATAATATAATATACGATGAGGTGGAAGTCCTTATATATTATTTGAAAGATCAGGATGGAGAGGAACAGACATTGATTGAATCCTTCCAAGGCAGAGATCTTGGGAATGTGGACCTAATGATTCCAGGGAAATTTTATTCCTGACTCTGAGCAGACTTGTACTCCATCAGTCAGAGGTAGTCTGCAATTTGGGAGTTCTTATAGGCTCACAGCTTTTGTCTGAAAAGTAAATGACGTTATGGCCAGGAGGGATCTTGCACAGTTACAAGTATTGTGCAACTTGCAACCATTTCTGAACCAGTCACTCATGTCCTAGTCACCTCCTGCTTAGACTAGTGTAACATTAGGAAACTGCAGTTGGGACAAAAATCAGTAACTTAGACAAGATCAGCAGCTTGGACATGATTGAGCTCTGATAGATTTGGATGTCCCCCTCTTTTTGAAGCATTGTTTGCAACCTGGGTGCATTTCTAGATGCTGATTGTAATCTCTATGGTTTTATATTGTTCCAGACTTGATTATCTGAATTAATATCTTCTGTATTTATTTATCCACTTAATCAGATCAAATGTGGTCAGTTTCTTCCAGGTCCTATCACCATGAAATTGTCATCTAACAGGACCCCAGAAAGTGTTTCTGTAGTTACCCACACTCTTGTAACTCACTTCATACAAAAATTTAGCTTTCTGTCAAGCTTTCAAAAATTTATTCAAAAATACCTGTTTGTCTAGTACAGGAAAAGTTGTGTTGTAATTCAACATTTTCAGCTGCTTGGTGTTTATATTTCTTTTGTTTTTATCGGTTTGGCCCTTTTTATTTTTACATAAATCTTTTTGAAGATTAAAAATCATTTTATATTTGAGATTATCAGCAGCCTAGATTCTTTTGATTTGGGCTGCAGACAAGGAAAATGAGTGAAAGAATTAAGTTAATTATAAATGCTGTTGCTTTTGAAAAGATTAAGAAAACTATAAGATACATAGTCTGATGGTTCCAAAGATACTTCTACTATTTTTCATTGTATCTCACTTTTGCTTTACACAGACCCAATTAATAAGAAATTGGATTATTAAAATTATACTTGAAACACAAGCACAACAATATCTCTGCTGGTGATTTTAGCTATATATTGAATGATGAATTGCATGCCATCAAATTGGTATGAATTCTTAGTGATTGTATAGATTTTCTCTAGGATGATCTGTGATCATCCTGGACCTTCTGATCTTTCAGTGGTTCTCCCATTACCGCTCTAATTGAATCTATTCACTGTGCTGTTGCTTGTCTGTTTTCGCCCCACTTTCCCCAAGATTTTTAAAATGCTGACTATATAAAAACTAATGGATTGCAATCAGAGTCTGAGTCATACAAAGTTAGCTTTGGCAAATGGGCAATGGAGGATTTGGTGGGTGCTTTTGTTTGTTAAGTTTAGTTGAAACTTCTGATTTCTTATTTTTAAATGGAATCTTAATTTGTTCATTTCCTATATCTTGGGTTAGCTTTTTCTTATATATTGAACACGCTATGTAGCTAAAATTATTATTAGTTTTTTCGCACAGTCAGTTAGATGTTTAGACAGGATTGGCCTTTTTATCAACCTATCAAGTCCTTTATTATCATTATTATGGTTCATTGCAGTGTCAGTAAGCCTTTGGCATTTTTGTCCGCCTATATACAGTTCTATGTATCTGGACATGAATGATTAAGCTCACACTATAATGTTAGTATGTGAATAAATTATGTTACTTCTTTTAACGTATTATTTTTTTAAACTGTGGCATGAGAGCAGTGATCAATCATGTTTAAAGTAAAAAAATAAAATGTAGTTTTGGTAGTAGTTGGCAAATGTATGTGTATGTATGTTTGTATGATACCAAAAATTATGAGGAATGAATTTGGTTTAAAAGAAAAGAATCAGGCGAAATGTAGGTTATATATTGAAGAATCGTTCTCTGTATTTCATAGTTCAGTGTAGCGTAATTCCTATCTCATCTTCCTTTATATATAATGCACATTCTCTTGGCAACAGTTGCTGTTCTGGCTCCCCCTATGTTAATTAATTCTGCTCTCTCAGACAAATACTTTTATTCTCCTCAGCTTCTTATATACAGCGTTTTTCCGTTGAGCTTACATTAATATTTGTTCGTGTTTATCTGTCATCTCTCTGACTCCCATTGTTTGAAATTTAAATTTTTGGCTTTGAATTTGTAGAAATTCAGTGGATTATCCTTTTTAGAGTAATGATATGGGCAAAGAAATTAACAAATTAATTCTTAAGTAATAGCAATTTGCTAGGTTGTTGTCCTGGAATAAATAGTGTATCTTAAAACATTTTTTTTTTCAGACTCTTAATGTACCATCTTCAACCAATGGCCAGTTTGTGGCTCCAAGTGATATTCAGTTGAAATGCAATTATTGTAAAAATACTTTCTGTTCAAAACCTGAAGTACTGGAATGGGAAGTAAGTAAATGATACCATGATCTTTTTTAAGTGCATGCAAATTAATTGATTGTAAACGATATGCTTCATTTTTTAATATTTCATACTTTAGCCATGGTTGTATTAATTAATGCACCAACTGTTTCCTATTCTTCTCTTTCTTGTAGCTGCCTCTAGTCTGATTAGATCCTCAGGTCACAGAACCAACCAGGATTATTAATTTACAGGGGTTTATGGGTCTTTCCAATCCATCAGGACTAATCCAGCCATAAAAAATAACCTGTTCCTTTACTTCTAGTGCTTTCCCTAGGCATGTCTCTTCATTCAACTTTCAGTTTCTGTTTCATACCAAAGCAGTGGCCTTTCTTTCTTTCTTTCTTTCTTTCTTTCTTTCTTTCTTTCTTTCTT